TCCCTTCCAACCTAAACTATTCCATTCATCTGTGATTCTACCAACTGGAGATTGTCTGGAGGACAATATTTCCCCCTAGATTTGTGAAATCCCAACAGTTCACTTTCTCTGACCTTTCAGAAACTGATTATCTCTTCTCTCTCCCCACTCAAACGCAGCTTCCAGCAAATATTAACATAGGGAGATAATATGTGATTTGCTAGAGCTCAGCTTGACCATTATATGGAAACTCTGTGACCCTTTGTAAGGGACATGACATAGAAGAAGATTAGATTAGCTTGTGACAGCACTCAACAGACCCATCCAGGGAACATACTAGTACAAATAAGTACCACAATTCGCAGTTCAGCACTGGCTTACCTAAGTATGTGATATGAACTGTTTTCTGAGCAGAAAGAGCAAATACAACATCAATTTAATATAAAAAATTTATCAGAGTTCACTCTGTAATTATCAGAAAAAACTCTTACTGATGCATCTGACTAGAACCTGATGGCTGGACTCAAAAGTATACTCTCCAAAACACTGAAAATATTCTCTGTTTTCAAAACTTTCAAACACAAAAATAGCACCAAATTGAATTTTAGCACTGTTTTTTTATGTTACTATTTCCAGTTTTCTTGTTGTTTGTTTGTTTTCTTACCTGATTAACTTGTAACCTTGGGCCAAGATTAGTATAGATCTCTTTAAGAAGATCTATTGCTCTGTTTGCAATGTCATCATTTCCCTGAATCACAACCTAGCATAATAATAATAAAAAAAAGGCATTAGAATATCTACTTAGAACTTCTACTATAAAATTTAAACCCAAAATGACTACATAAGTATCTTGATGCAATAGTATTTCTAATTATTTTATTAGGTGAAAGTGACTAAAATGCTTACTTAACAAAATACAATCAATACAACTTACACTGAAGTTAATTACGTAAGAGTCAAAAATTAAGAATTAACAGTTAGCAAAAAAAGCAGATGCTTTATGAACAGAATAAACATAGTGCTTATATGTTTACCTTCACACTACATTTCCATTTTCACTAGTTTGAGAATAAGACAGCTATCTTTCAAGCGCTTGAACAATCCACATCACTAAAGATTTAGTAATATAATTTTAAAATATTTAAATGGCTGTGAGTGGGTGCAAGGGGGACAGGCAAACGAGTTCTGTTTCTAAACTGATAATACACATTTTAATTACTAGCCATCAGGTCTGAAAGCAGCCCTTACAGACAACCCTTGCAGGATACTGAGCTAAAGCTTCAGACGCAGTTCTGTCATGCTGCCAGCAGCAAAGCAGATCCAAGTAAGCTGATTCCCATGGCTAAAACATGCTACCTTTAAGTGGGCGCTCTATATACAAACACTGTGTGAAAACTTACTTGTATAGAAATTGTGATCTACTTTGATTTTAACTATTATCACCATGATTAAAATGCCTAACCCTTCAACAAGCCACAGCCAAAATTAACGAAGACTGCTGCTCTATATACAGCATATTTATAAAACACAGTCACGATAATCATGCTACAGTGAGCTGTGGGTTCTAATGCAGCTCTTGAAAACTAGAAATACTCTGAAAAAATTAAGGATTAAACTAGATACCAATGTATGTCACTAACAGATTTGGCAAACTTCCAAAAAGCTACAACCATGTTTAGGCAAACCTTTGTGGATATAAGAGAAAGTCAGACCAGTGATCACTTGGTCTAATTTTGAATCTGTCCAGTTCACTGTACTAGAACGGATGACATGACCTAGCTTATGAAGTGCACTGAATAAAGTTTAATTCTACTGTGCATGTGAGAGAGCACGAAACCTACAGATAATTCACTAGGAATGATCCTTTCTTCAACAGTATAGGCAAAATTTTAATCTCATGTGCATACACAAATGTACTTGATGTTTCAAGTAGCTTTCCATTAAACATCAGTCTGAAGAGTTACCAACTTGCATACTTGCTGGGAAGACAGTGGAGTCGATCTCTGTGCATTTACTTTGAAAAAGTAGCTTTTTGTAATTTCAGTCTATAACTAATGAATCACACATTCCTAAAAATATAAAAAGAGACTAAGAAAGACTTAGCAGTTAGCCTTTCACGTTTCCTCCCATTAACTCACCCTCCAAAGGTAGTCTAATCCTATTAATTCCAGATCATCCATCATATAGGCTCGTCTCTTTGCTACTAGTTTTCCTTCTCGACAGTTCACAGCTTTGAAGAAACGTTCAAAACATTTCATTCCATTTTCTGTTAATAGGGAAGGATCCAGCTGAAGCACATTATTTTCAAAGAAGTCCTTATTAATGTCAGGGTCTAAGTCTGGTTCATCCCCCATTAGTTTGGAATACCATTTAAAACAGGCTTCGCGATCACAAAGATAAACTGCATTTTCAGCTAAACACTTCCATATTTGCTTCGCCTGAGGGGCACAGAGCCACAGCTGACCATCCTTCAATAAAAATCTTGAGCAAAACAAAGAGAGAATTAACAGCACTGTCTAGTAGACATCTGGAGTTACAATTCAGTAAAAAGTACAGGCAAAAAGGTGAACATGAGTATATACATGTACATATCATAACTTTATTGACATCATCAGTCCACTCAATTAGCCACATGATTTCTTAGTAAGTTTGAATGGATCAAGACTTCATAGTCTCAACAAAAAAAAGGAATAAAATTTAGCAAAAAAACCTAACTTACACAAAAATACCAAGCATTATTTACATATTATATACAAATGCACATCTAATGTAAACGATTTCATTTAAAAGTCAAGTCACAACATAAGAGGTTAAATTGATTCTGCAAGCACCCACTATGTTTTAGCACTCACTTTAGTAAAATCTCAAAGTAAGGTATCAATTCTATGGAACAGCAGCAGAAGCAGAATTCAATGAATTGGAAATTTTCCCTTTCATTTAAACAAGTTTCTCATTTGTATCAAATTATTATTAAATAAGAACTTCAATCCTGAGAGCAAACACTAAGAATAATTATCATTTGTTCTTCCTGAAACAAAGTAGTTCAGAATAATTTTTCTGACTCAAAATCATTTCTATGTAGAAGAAATCAGGGACTAAGTTATGGCATTGCTTTTCAGAACTTGCTACCTACACATTCTACATTTGACAGCCATGGGACTGCATGAATTCTCTTACATTAACAACTAGTGAACTTAATTTTAAAGAAGTTAATATTTTTAGCATGCAGGAGTGATAAATTAAGTCTGCTATCCATATGTCATTCTGTAATTTCATTACAGTTGTTTAACACTTCAGTTTAATTAATGAAAATTCCTGGTAAAATTTTAAAAAGTAAGAAAGTCTCCCTTACAAGACAAGTAAAAACTACTTCAGAACTTGACAATTTTTACTTGTCTAAAAAAATGGTTAAAACCAAGTGAGAAAAAGCTGAGAGACACAGCCTAAAACGCATCAACATACTGCAGCTCTGATGAGCAGAGATGCTTTGTTTCCTTATTTTACTCAAACAGTAGCTGGTCAAAAGTCATCCATCCAAACAATATTTTTTATGCCAACCTCTTTCTAAGGCTCACTTCCTGACAACTTAACATCAATGTCTGACAAAAAGCATACATCCGTCTATGATCTTAGACTTAAATCGGGTGTAGTAAAACCAATAGGGACACAGGGACATAACCCCTAGATGGAATATTTTAAATTTTCAACTAAGTTATCCCAATATGAATGCAACTGTATCCACATGCATGTTGTATTCAAGTCAGTAGCGTTCTGCACACAGACGGACAAAGCCCATACAAATCTTAGTGCAGAATCAGACCCTTGGATTGCAAAGATCCTACTAAACTTTGTTTGACTATTCCAATTCCAGCATAGAAACCCTCTGGGGAGAAAATAACAAAAACCAAAAACCCCCACAACAAACCCAAACCACAAACAAACAAAAAAACCCCATCCCAAACCAAGACATTCTGTGTATTTTTTCATCTGAGTTTTGAAAGAAGTTAACATAGCAACATAAAGGTAGGTAAGAGAAAGAGATACCACGGTTTTATTTCTCTTTACAGAAATTAAACAACTGATCAAGCTAAAACTAACCGTAGAAAGTTCAGTCGCTCCTGTACTTCCTGCACATGACTGTATCTGCTTCCCGGTCTTACAGTTTGAGGATCATATTCACCATGCTCTGCAAACATAACATGTTTTTATTAGACAATTCATTCAGGAAGCACATGCTGACACTAAAATTTAGACAGGATGTGTTTGAAGATTTGTTAGTCTGACTATAATTAAAACCACTCAAAATCTAATAAATCCTCAGTGAGGTGTATAAAAATAATTTTCAGCAGTCTGCTACCCATTAACATTTCATCCTAAATTAAAATGGGTACAGGCAAAGACTACAAAGGTCAATAATCAAATCAACGAACATTTATACGGAGATTCATGTGCTCATCATTCAGTGTAACAGAAGTATCACATAACAGTTAAGAACCTACATTCTACTTATTTGAATCAATTTTTCCTTATTTCAAGTAGTAAGTTTGAAGTCAGAAGTCAGTTTAAATGAAATTATACCTAGCACAAAATTCAGATCATGCAGTGTTTTTTTCTGAGGATGCTTTAGTTTCACTACAAAGTATCCTTTCAAAATTTCAGTTTTCTAATTTTAGGGTTTTTTCTCTTCAGAGGAAATAATTACTCTGGTTTTTTAGCACTTTTGTAAGTAGCTACATACATGACATCACCCAGAGGAGGAAAGTATATGACAACTTCATTTGCTGCAAGTTTCCAAGTGCAAAAAACAAATGCCTCTAATACTGACAAGCTTGAAACAGAAGTCGAGTAATTTGAAAGTAAGGCAAGAAGCCAAACTTTTGCCTGCATTGTATCAAATCTCAGAGTAATATTCGGTTTAATAAATAGCTGTTTGCTTCACAGGAACTTGGTTTTGGTGTGGTTTTGTCTTACTTGCTTGGTTGTGTTTTGCTTTTATAGCTGAAGAGATATACTCTGCATCTGTAATTGCACCACCTTGATCGGTACCACCAGCATTTCACCATGGCAGGTCCATTATAAACTAATTAATGCTCCATTTCTTATTTGCAAAGGTATACAGATTGCATTTAACTAAGATGACCCAGCTGTGGGAGACTGTATCATGACAACATCCACACTCATAGTAAAATTTATCTTTAGAACTGAGATTCAGTATCTCATATCTAGGGGAGGAGGGAAAAAAACCCCAAAACCACAAACAAACCAAACACCAAAACAAACAAGTCCAACAGCTGAAGTACATCATCAGTGTTTCGAAATTAGGAGAAAAATAACTGCCATAAATACTGTCTAAACAAGTACAAAAAGTATGTTAGCTTAAAAATCATCAAATGAAAGGGAAAACAGAAGACTAGTAGTTAACTGATGTCTACAAACCAGAGATGTTATGTTCACCAGAAATCCTTCAAAAATTTAAATTATAATCCTAATGAAGTGAGCATAAATGGGCAATTATCAAAAGAAAAGTGAAAAAAAAAAAAGAAGAAAGAATATAAAAGTCGTAGAACAAAAATTATTTATTAGAAGCAGAAAACCTGAAAAATATGGTGTGGGTCTAGCAGAAGAAACAATTGTGGTAGATAAGCATATTGCAAAGAAATTAAAACCAATTACTTCAAGCATTGGGTGTTTTGGGTGGTATATTTTGTTTGACTTGGGGGGGTGGTGGGAGGGGTGGGTCAAGTTGGTAGTGGTGTGTGTTTGTTTTAACTCTGGAGACTATCTCGTCTGTTTCTCCTGAATAGAGATTAATTCACAGAAAAGTGGATTCACAGAAGTGTCAATAGTGACAATGATAGAAGAATTCAAGTATTAAAGGCCAGTCAGTTGCTCAAAGGCAACTGTATGTACTTTAAAAACTCTGATCTACAAAAAAAATGCAGTCTCCCTAAATATTCTCAGCTTCTTTCTAAATTTGTCCAATTTATTTTCTGCTCTGTGCATCCCACAGCAAGTCCAAGTGTGATCTCCTTAAAAATTCCTTCTACATATAGGAGCAGAAGAATGAACACAGAAATTATATATCAAAAAAATGACTGGTTGAAAATCTAAGTATAATTGGTGATAAACACACACAGAAGATCATATGGCACAATTTCTACAAATAACCACATTTCATTGACAGTTTGTACTTTTTATAATTACTTCAGAGAAACAGAAGATAAAGGAGAACTCCCTAGCAATCTTTTCAAAATTTTTGAAAGGTTTTTGATAAAATAGTCGAAAAGATGAACTGTGACCTCCTCCTTCAGGACTACACAATGCAATAGCATTTGTGTAATCTCATGGAGGACTTTGTAGAGTTGGAGGAAAGGGTGACTTCAGCAGAAGAGAAAGTCACAGATCATGGAAAAAATTCTGAAAAACAGATTATGCTTTTCCTTAATCTTAGAAAGGCAAAGATATATAAGGGAGTATGATAGAAAAGCATTAGTGAGTAACAACAGGAACACTGTTCTCCATCACAGAACAAAACTATGGAAGCTTTCAAGGAAAGTAAAATAATGGCAAATTCAAACTGAATTAAAAAAGTAATAATCACAAGTTACACAATAACTGTGGGGTTATCTGCCAACAGATCTGTAGTCAACTGGATTTTTTTTCCTATGGTATTTGTTTAACCTTTGCTGTTTGCATGTCTGCCTTGAATTTCCTCCTCCTTCCCCAGCTAAGCTTAATTCTACGGCTGTCCAGTTCTTTCTTTCTGTCCTCACAATCATAATTTTCTTTCTTCTCCTTTTATCTATTTCCTTCCCTGCACTTCCCTCATCCCCAGCATCTTTCTTCCTCCTCCTGGAAGGCAAACGGCACAGTGCTCTCTCCATGTTCTGCTCTATTTGGTATATAAAACTGAAAGAGGAATTGCACAGGAACAGAGTTACAGTCTCAGTACAGTATCTGGAACATTAGGAGACATTTTCTGGCTACTCTTAATCATGTAATAAAGCATCTAATAATAATAATAATGAAAAACTACACTATTGTCCATTTGGTATTGTACTCTGATGCAAATGAGTTGTTGTTCTGCAGCATCTTCATCTCAAGAAAGCACGATTTAATTGCTTTGTAATTAGATTCAATTTAAACTCTTTGCACACTTGTAATTCCTATTGTTCTGAAAATGCTTATATTACTGCTTTACCAAGTCATTATAGTTGAGGAAAGGCAGGGCAATAGGACATATCTTTTGGCACAAGAAAACAATCATGCAAGATACCAGCTTAATTTTTCTGCAAGCTATCAACAATTTGATAGGTAAACTACACCGTCAAAATGACCCAAAAGGTTCAGAGTTCAAAAATAATTTAAATTAATGAATAATAATTCACACATTAATAGTATTTGTACACTATTTTTGGACAAAGACAACATTGCATTAGAATACAGTTGTTGCTTATGTTTCCTTCCTAACCTTGAGGCCAAACCCCACATTTCCCAGCTAGCCAAAGTCAAGAGAAAGAGAGAACCATAGATTCTAAGATATCCATATAGTTGTGAAGTTCATTATATATGAAATCTCGGGTTTGCATCACTTCGGCAAAGTTAAAGAGCACTCCCACAGCTTACAGAAGTTACATGAAATAATACTTGTTCTATTCTACCTTCCTAGAGAAGACTAAGCCTAAGACAGTATATCCTGAGAACAGAATAAAGTATTTGGTATTATTTTAACATCAGTGCAATGCTATTATTAGGAACTTAAATTACGGTAACCCCCTCTCTCCTATTCCTGAATAGAGAAATACAGCTACAGTATGCTGATTTATCTTAAATGTTATTCTCATTGACCTATACATGGCTGAAGCTATCATCTTCATATAGCTCCAAGATCCAAACAAGTCTCCAAGGACATATTTGGGCGTCTTTTTATCAAGTACTCTAAATTAAAGGAATCCCAAAATTCAAGTTGTCTCGTCAACTTACCCAAGCACTGGAAGACACAAACATGCTGTACAACATGCAAATATCCTGCCCTCTGAGCGATCTTCACTGAATTCCTACATAACACACTGTGTCGTTTTTGAGATGCGACTGAAAGGCTGGTTGGATGTTATGTTATGGTATCAGGGTAGAATGGTTCTTAGTTCCAGTAAGTGAAGTAGATGGAAGGGCGTAAATACCCTGCTCTCACATTTGTTGGCTTAATTCTGTATATAAAGTGGCATGGTCCAGCATAACAAGGAGTTTCCTGGTGCATCATTCCACTTCACTTCCCTACTTCTACCTCAGTAACTAGAAAGCTAATCCAGTGTAATAGTGTAAACTCAGCAGTGAAGTGTTGAGTTTAGCCTGAAATATAGGAACACTAACAAGATATGCTGCCAAAGTGTTCCTGGTAACAAATGCAGCAAGAAAGCAACTGAATAGAAATGGGAGTTGCATAGAAAAAGAAACAGTAACCCTGTGATTTAGAGTCCTTCTCCCTGACAAAATTCCAAATGCTGGCTTCAAATAGAGGTGATAAAAAAAATCTTCTCAAAGAAGCCTACAAAAATTCAAGAATAGAAGTGAGGCAAAACCCCAAGACTTATTAGGTGAGGCACTGGAACAGGTTGCCCAGAGATGTTGTGGATGCCCCATCCCTGGAAGTGTTCAAGGCCAGGCTGGATGTGGCTTTGAGCAACCTGGTCTAGTGCAAGGTGTCCCTGCCCATGGCAGGGGGTTTGGAACTAGATGATCTTTAAGGTCCCTTCCAACCCAAACCATTCTGTGATTCTATGATTGTATTATCAGGACTTCCCACAAAAATAACCACCCTAGCCTAAGTGAGGCAGGACGATGTCTATCAATCCACAGATAAATGAGAGCTGCCACTTCCCCATACTCTGCAGTAAAACACAGCACATTTTCGGATATGAAACAAAATATTTACATCTAAGCTTTTTTTTTTTTTTCCCCAATCAGACCCCACAGATGCTCAAAAATTAAACAAACTTAACGGTTATTTTACTATGAGAAATTGCATTTAACTCTATTTCAGCTGGGGTTTTCATAGACTATTTATGAGGCAATTTTTATTTCACAACTTACCTTTAGCATACTGCCTCATGCTTTCCATGTAGGCAGAGAGATTTTCTGCAACCAATGTAACTAGGGCATGATTGTGCTGAAGTTGATTGATTAAGTCATGTCGGTAAAACACATGGGGACTTCGCTGAGTCTGACTGAAATTAAAATACAAGTGTTATAAGAAAAGCGAAGTCTTGCACCTAACAGTTCAGAAATCAATTGAAGAAACTCATGTTTGATGAAAGTTCAAATTTTCCTAAAAGAACTCTAATGAAAAACATATTGTTTCTGACAATATTTTTACTTTTTCTTCTGACACATGAACAGTTCTCACCTGTTATTAAAAGCAGCTAATTAATGAGGATTATACAGTTACAGTATGCATGAAAAATATCAAAGCAATCTGAGCAGCTCAGCGTGCTGGAGAGAGAATATCTGCAGCAAGACAGGAATAGAAATACCTGCCCACAAACTACATAGTAAAGTTAAAGACCCTCAACCGTAATATAACCACAATATGCGTAACCACAGTTTCTTCCACATCCGTCTGATTTTTTTTTTTTAATTTAATATTAAAACACTAAATAAAACCAGGTCAATCTGCAAAACGAAAGCTCATGGTCTCAAAGCTATAGTGAAAGAACACTGCCAATAATTGCACCCATAAGACTTCAACAAACCCGTGCAATTCTGCGTTGTTTTTTCTAACAATATCTGAAAATATGTTGGTACAAACACTGGAAAGAACAGTTACACAGAGCAAGGATACAGCTTAAGAAAAAACAGAAAAGTTCAAGAAAAGAAATAAAACTGGATTATAACTTAAGTTTACTATCAGGATCTGACAAAAAACTGCTGCTCTCGAACAATACAGGACATATTTAGATTACAAAAGTAAACTGCAAGGCAAAATACAGAGCTTGGTTCCCAAACCCACACGCCATGAACACTATGAAATTCTAGAATTTAGGGACTAACCACCTCTGCAGAACAGTCTCAAAATGCCTCAACTCATGCAACCTTGCACTGCTCTTCGACGGTAAAGGGTAAAAAAGAAAAAAAAAAAAAAAAAGGTGGGGGGCAGCAGGCATTCCTCATTGTACTGCCACTCAGCTGATCCCACAGCCTGCCCTGAAGAAGTACAAACGTGCTTCCAGAACTGTTTTCCTTTCCTTCAACACTTAAGAAAGTGGTTCCAAGAATTAGCTGAATGGATTAAAGGTAGGAATTCTCATGCTCCCGAGGAAACAGGGTGTCCCCTCTTTACACTTGAAACTTTCCAATTACATTTCATCTAACCGTCCTTGCTCAGCATAAACCAGCAGCAAAACCAGCAAAAGATTGGATGCCTCTGTTGTAGTGGCTACCGGAGGTGCTACCTCTAGAGAGATACATTTACAAAGGGTAACAGTTAAGTGAGAGTATCGACTCTTTGGGAAATACATGAGGAAACAACTAAAGGAACAAGCAGAAGCAAACCACGGTACTCTGCAGAGTTGCGTTATAATCATAATATGATTCATTTTATCAGTCTTATAGCAAAGTATAGCAAAAAGAAAGCTTTATCAGCAGAAGACTAAGTCTTCTGAAGTAGACACTTTCTACTTTTCTCCTTTCTCAACCATGTGCACAAAAAGTAAATCTGGACACATGGATTCATCTTGCTTAGCACCTACTTCTAAAAGACGAGTATTTGTTAAGAACAAGAGTTTTGATTTGTTAACACAGTATTTGAGACCAACATGTAAGTTTTTTGATCATCTGCTAGGACAGAGTCTAAGGCAAGACGATGGTCTTTGGGCACAGAAAAAGGCTGATCCGACAAGGCTTCTAGCATGCCTTCTAGAATTAAAGCAAACTCCCCATGCAACCACAGACTTACTCCTTAAGCATCTGAAGTTAGGCTATATGATGTTGTTGCCATTGGGACCTATCCCCTTAGTAATAAACAGAGTGTGAAAAAATGAAGTTAACAGCAAAACTTCTCTTTTCATTGTGTTTCTACTAAATGGATACCAAACGCCAATGTGTAATAAGGAAACAGCGTTTTGAAATCGATGCCAAAGCACTTTGGAAATACTAAAAAGGACATATAATAGTTAGAATGCGTGCTTATTTGCTAGAAAAAGATCAACAGTGACAAATGCAAAAATCCAAACTTAATTTAAATGGATTTTTAACAAATTTCTTACCGGCACACATAAGCTAACACAGTACTGCACACTCAGCTTTTGAAGTTCAGAGTTCTTATACTAGACAAATGCTATGTACCACGGAAAGCAGACATTAAAGGTAACCAAATAGCAGTAAACAAGCCCAGCAAATTCTACCTTTAGGCTAAAAAGTTCCTTGAAGCTAGCATCACTGTTGTCTTAAAGCACTAACAAAAGCCTAAACTCCCACAGAAGGTCAGTTAATTCTTCTGGGCAAGTAATTTAGAAGACCGATCTTACCCTGCTTGAGTAAATACAGGTCAAACTTCAGTGCTTGAAACTGGTCTACAAGAGCCTCTACCTCCATCAAGGAACACAGAAAATTAAGATTATGAATCCTCTGTACACTAAAGGTCAGTATGTTGAGCAATAATATTATTAGTAGTCAATATTGACTACTGCGTAATATTACTAAGGATCCTTGCACCTAAATTAGAATTAATTTCTTCTGCTGCTGAAATTAAGCTAAACTTCCCAAAACGTGTAGCATTTCTTTGTGACCAGGGAGTTAAATTTTGCCAAAGCAATTGTATAACCAATTTGTCACTTTGCTCAGCTGCATGAATAACTGGCAACAATTAAATCCTCCTCCTCAAAAGCATCTCTACAGTGCCAACGGCATACGATAATTTATGCTTGTTTTTGCCAAGAATCAGCAGCCTTAGTTCATCTGGACTGAACTTGTAATTGCCAGTCCCAACCAACTGAACCACCCCAAGAGAACAGTATACAGATTATGGGATTAATGCTGCACACAGAAAGCTCTGTGAAATGTTTTTGAGGCAGTTGTCACAAACATCTGTTTTGATCTATTTTCGATCCAAATTGTAGAAGGATGTTAAAGTTTTAAGTCAGATAAGGTAAGCTGATAGGAACAGGTATGAGATGTATCTGCATGACAATTTCCAAATTATATCAATGTTAAAAGTTATCAGCCACTGATTACTTCCAAATGATGTTTTCACTCACTAGGTTTCCCAGTCCCTGGCAGAACTACTATCCAAATGAAAAAAAGACTCTCTCAACAGCATCTTCCTAACAAAAGTTTCTCCACAAGAAAAGGCCTTTATAATTCCCTTGATAAATATCTTAAAATTCAAAGTTTAGCTTCCTACCGCATGTCTTTTCAAATTCTGCATTAAAATGAAGTATTACTACATACTGCAATGCAGACTTTCCTGAAATCTGAGAAAACAACAAAAAATAAAAGAAGAAGAAGAAGAAAGAAAGAAAAAGATATTCAAGCCATGTGACTGTACATATGCCATACAGGAAACCTAAATTTCCACAATCAAAGTAAGTCAGGTTCCTTTCAAGATTAATTCAGAGCAGAAATATCATCAGTGCCTTGAATGAGCTGTTTCAACAGTTACTCAAAGCAAAGCATCTGCACCAAGGCACTGTGCTAAAAAGCACTGAACTTGAACAAGCACCATGAATAACCAGGTAGCTACATTTGCCTGGAACTTAGAGCGTGTGAAAGGTTAAGGTCTCCAAGACACAGAAAACAGATTTATCTGCTAATAAGCAAGTAACTTTGTGACCTTGTTAGTCACATTATTGTGAAATTATAAAGGATTAAAATATGGAGAAAATCGGAAAGATGTTGCCACTAAATGAATAACTAAACCTGCTCCAAAAGCCAGGAATGCAGTATTATAACAGCTCCTTAAAATGGTATCAGCAAGAAGATAACATTATGTAAACTGAAGACTTGTTTGCTTCAACTTTCCCTGACTTGATCCTTCTTGTAAACAGACTGTAATAGCAACATTGATTTGAATAGTTAACCTGCTTACAAGAATGGAAACAAAGCAATTATGCAACACTGATAAGCAAACAGCATTTTTCTGGAGTTTGTAAAATGTCTGATGTGGATACAAAAACAGTTAGGGGCACAGAATCTCAGACACAGTGAGGCGACAAAAATATATTTTAACAAGTCCAAACAGTCCAAAAAGCCTTTCTGCTTGTGGATACAAAAACAGTTAGGGGCACAGAATCTCAGACACAGTGAGGCGACAAAAATATATTTTAACAAGTCCAAACAGACAATGGCTTTTCTGCTTTTTCTTCCTTTTAACAACACACAAACAACCCTCCTTTCCCCCAAAACAAAACAAACAATAAACCAAACCTAACGCATTTCTAATCTCTTCCATACAGGAGAGAGAATCAGTGTTCTTCCCAGAGGAAAAAAAGTCACCTTTGATTTGAAGTATATGAACTAGATGATCTGTGTAAATTTATCATCAAAGAATAGGGATGGGTGGATATGTGTGTGCATACATACATATATGCACATAAAATGTATTTATACTTTGTAAGCTAATTCCATTGCTAGGCAAGGAAGTCCATGGATAGTAGAAAAACAAACCCAGACTTTCCACAAATCAGACTACTATTCTAAAAATGAATAAAAGCATGTTTGAGTACACAGTCAATGCTCTCTTACTAAACCTAAGTGTCTCAATTTTAGAGGCTATTTATACATATTAAACAAACTCAAGCACAGACTGACTTTAACTAAGCTTTCCCTGCCTCTGGTAAAAAAAAAAAAAAAAAAAGATTCATTCCAACCCATTTAATTTTCAACAGACAAAATTTTATTTGCATTCCATTCTTACCTCAAGTTTTGTGGTGCTTCACCAAACAAACTGCAAATTTCTCTAATTTGTTTCAGTGCAGGAATGACCCATTTGTCATTTGTGCGAAGCTCTTCTATGAAACGATCTATCCATTGGATCTTTTGTGTATCTCGATCCTTAAAGAACAAGCATTTGTAATCAAAATTCAAGTATACTGCAGAAACGATCATCATTCCCTTATTTCATTTGTTTCCAGGGCAGAACAGAACATACAAAGCCACACAAACACTGGATGAACCGAATTATGAAGCATGCAAGCACACGCAAAGTATCTGAGCAGCTCGGCATGCTGGCAGAAGCCATCAGTGTGTTGCAAACCCTCTACCTTCAAGCACTCATGCATCCAGTATGTATTTAAGAAAAACTGTAGCTAGATAGGATCAGTTTCCCTTCTTTCATTTATTTCTACTCACTGGTACCCTGAGTAAACAGCTATAAAGCATCAAGAAACGATGCAAAACTGCTGCTTAACAACTAAGAAACAAAACCTGCCAGTGGCTGGCAAGACAGATAATGGAATAATTTCCAACCACAATGAATTATTATTCTGGCAGACTTCTCCAGAAGTTTGGGTGTGGAAGGAGAGTCCCTTCTTTCATTTATTTCTACTCACTGGTACCCTGAGTAAACAGCTATAAAGCATCAAGAAACGATGCAAAACTGCTGCTTAACAACTAAGAAACAAAACCTGCCAGTGGCTGGCAAGACAGATAATGGAATAATTTCCAACCACAATGAATTATTATTCTGGCAGACTTCTCCAGAAGTTTGGGTGTGGAAGGAGAGTGTGTAATAGTTTTCAATGTCCTCTACTAGGTTCTTTCTAATATTATACAAGACATATAAGGACTTACTGAAAAAAACCCCACCCAAACAAATTAGTATAATCGAGTTCAGAAAAAAGCAAAGACAGGAGGGGGGATGCTTTTCCTTTCTCCCTATTTACTTCAGTAGGGCTCTTTTCCAATTCCTCCAATGTGGTGATTGCAGTATGTCACCAATTGCACCAAGGCAGGAAAACTGATATATTTCACTCTCTCCAAGTAAAGCATGAAGTGTGTTATGGAAAATATGTCCTACTGAATTTTAAAAGTACCTACATGGTGGTAGAATAACAAATCTATGACAAGGAACACTGTCGTTAAATTATCAAAACCCTTGAATTTTTCACGGGGGACAGATGGAAACTGTCAGTGACTGACTGCACAACAGAACATACCAGATTTCTCACCTGTGAACAGCTGTAATCTAAGATCTTAATATGGGCACTAAGAGCCTGGTCCATGATATCGACTGGTACATCATCACTATGAGCCAAATTCCACAAAAGATTCAGCACTTTGTGTGCCATCACACCATCCTTGTCATCCTCTGCGAGACGACGAATTAACTCAAGTAGTTTCTCACGCTGTTTCTTGCTTGCATTTGTCCAACTTGCCTAAGAAAATATTTTATTTGATATGAAAACCGGGCTTTAAAAAAAAAAAACTCCACACACAACCTGCATTGTTAACAAATGATTCAACAACTTAGTGATGCAACTACATAAAGACCTTTCACATTCATTTCTTTCCTTAAAACTAAGTATTACATTAGATCAATACGTCAGACACAATTGAATACCTCTTCTAATGTTTACAACTAAGATGTATTCAACTTGACACTTCAAAGAAAAAAATCTTTAGAGAAGGATCACATATGTGCTTGTAAAAGTTAATGTTACCACTGACAAATTCACCAACAGTCAAAACAGAGTGGACTCAGCTGTTTCTTGCAAATGCTTTCTCAAAACTCCTATGCTCATAATTAAAAGACATCTTAAATAATTTATAATCAATAAACAGTAAAATTGCCTCTGAATCTGACTGAAATAAAAGTCCTCTGCGTTAGGTTAACCTTTTTCTGAGTAAGTTTCCAATATAGCATTACTTCATATCCACCTCCCAAGGTCAGACACATCCTGCGACAGTTTACACCTAGAACTTCTGAGCATTTAGTTCAGTATCTGGATTACAAAACATCAGATTGATATTCACCAAACTAGAGGACCCCAATTAACTGGAGCACAAATTGCATGTAAGACAAAACGTGACTATAATGTATTTATCCAAAACCAGAAAACAGAGTCTATCAAGCCGTCTTGCATTTTCTCATACAGCAGATCACCTTCTGAAAGTCAAACGGTGAAACAAGCTGGATAACTTCAGCAGCTTCCAGCAGTGGTGCTAAGGTTAGCATACACTAAAAGCCAGTGAATAACAACATTTCAGAAACAAGTGGTTTTGTGATTTCAACCAAACCACTGTATGTTTATAAACATTCAGCATTATCTTCCTGAGACTGCTTCATTTTGTAACTATGTGAACCAGAGAAAAATTATTACATGATAAAGAGGAAGTTGAGGGAGCGGGGAACGGAAGTCCTTGATCTTCTCTACTTCAAAGACAAGGTAAATTTGATGAAACCTACACTGTCGCTAGGAGAAAAACATTATTTACTAAATCATCAACACTTCATAATTTGGAACAAGTGCGAAAATATATTTGAGATAACACTTTATTTGAAAAATTCAACATTCCTAGGATTGCTAAATGTCACTTTAATACTACAGGCTTCAACAGCTGTGCATTACCCAAGAACGTTACTACCAGAAAACAAAACTGTCAATTAAACTAGCACAACCAGCCTTTGCTTTAGACAGGAAGTAAATAGAAAAATCTCACAACGAATGCTCATTAAACAGCACAATCTACCGTTTCTAATATTAAACATCACAGACTGTTCCTATGTATTAAGAAGTCTTCACACACGGAAACTGCCTGTATCTAAAATAAGTAGGAACCAGCCACTGAAAGAGTCACAAATCTGTATGCAACTTCACAACTCATTTCCTGAATACAGTCAAAACATGCATAGTTACCTTAAAACAATCAAACAGGTGATCAAGCTGTTCAGGAGAGAAATCCCAAGCTAATTTTGCAAGGAGATCATGTACATTTTTTACAATGGCTTCATGTTTTCCTGCCTGTCAAGAAGACAAAAGTAATTCACCAACATTCGTACCAATTCATACGAAGTCAAGCAGCAAGACATCCTACAATATTTTTACAAGACTCTTTGATATGGCCCGCAAGAAAAGCTGCTGCTGTGAGAGCAGCATAGCAAACTGAAAATTTACTTCTTTGGGAAGTCACAATATTCAGATTTCCCTTGTATGTGTAAGTATTTAAGTGTGCTTTCTGTGTCTGCACACAAGTACTTATTTAGAATATAAATGCTGCACCTCACAACGTTTTTTTTAAACACAATCATGCTGGAACAGTAGGCAAAATCTAAAAGGGTATTTTAACTTACATATCAATATTTTAATTTAATGCAGGTTTTGGTTGGGTTTTTTGGTGTGTTTTTCTTTATAAGAAAGGACTCAAAATCCACTTTCTTAATGAATTTCATTGAGGTGTTTTAAGCTGTAAAACAATTTTTAGTTTTTCCCCATGGTTCCTCAGGCTGAAGTACTTCATTTGTGCTAGTGGATTCATGGACAACTAAAGCTTTCTATTACAAACAAAATATTGCCTGCCACAAGCTGAACTCCAGCAGCTTATAAACTTAACAGAGTCTAAGAATCAAACAACTGACAGCAAGATGTTGAGTTATATACTAGGCAGTTTAAAATGAGAAAGTTTAATGTACATCACAATTTTGACATTTAAGGAGGAAGACAGTAAGGAAAAAAACAGCTCACTCAATTTTAAGTTTGGGCAAGAAGAAAATTTCCTCCCTATATTCCCAGGCTAGAAAATGCATCCCATGCTTTAAATCTGCACTAGGAAACAGTAATTTAGAATCAGTAGCTGCTTTACTGTAGAAACTTTTCTTCGAAGTGTAGAATAATAACCACTAAACAAATACGTAGAAAACAAACTCTGGAGTAATTAAACTTGTACAGTATTAAGAATGCATGCATGAGTAGTTTTGAATTAATTTCCTTCTAAAAGCTTGTATCCGTAGTTCACTTAAAACCAAAACAAGACACTAATAACTTTGTCACATGCTGTGCCGTAAATTCTCCACAGTGTGCCATAAATCTTTCTTTTAAAAAAGTTAATTTAAATAGTAACATTCATTTTCATGCTATGGGTCAGGTTATGAGAGGGAATTACTAAACCACTTATTCCACTTAATTTTGTAAAACATTGTCTAATTCTTTTCTCTTACTAAAATGTTTCCTGGACAGAAAGAAAAACTGAAAGCACACATGGCAGAAAGAACACCTAGAATACAATAAATGAAAGGGGAAGTATGCAAGCTGTGCTGGGGCTGAGGTGCAGGTAGCAAGGCAACAAGAGTTAAGAAAAAGACATTTAACAAACTTGTCTTGGGAGGTTTTTAACAGACATGGGAAAGCCTTTAAGAATAGAAAAGGCAGGGAAAGCAATACAAGACAGTAGGAGGAGGTAAGGGTGTGAACCGTCAGCTTGTGCAGAAACAGGGAAGTGCATATAAAGTTCTAGTTAAATGCTCCAGAATGTAAGTAATGAGACTCCAACACTCAATTTTTCTTGTCCAGCTGGACCTTTCCCTGGAACTCCACAGGCCGCAACCTAATGCTTGCCTTTAGAGACTTCCAACATTATTCCTTCAATCAAATACACTTATACTTTGTGAGCACTCACTTTGTAGGACAGGAAAACATCTCAATAAAACTTAAAAACTTATTTTGCCTTCTAAAGGCAAAAGCAGCATGATTTTATTACTTTCCAGAAACTACCTATTTTTATTCTACTTGTATAGTGAGATTCTCAGGGCACTTCTACACCATCAACTGTAAATTCGTGCATGCCCACCCTCTAAACCCAGGCAGCAACATAACAGCTCTAGCCTGAAAGCAAACCTTCGCCGTTGCTGCACTCAGCCAGAGCTAAAATAGCCTGTCTGTTATATAAAGCTACAGAGTAAATCAACTCCTCGCTACTGAATTTCATGCTCCATCTGCTCTTAGAAGCAGTCATTTGATAACAACTTCTAAAAACTACTAAACACAGGGAGTAGCAAAGTTGGTAAAAATCATTCTGTGTTAGCAGAATTTGGTATTCTTACCTTTTAGTCTACTTTAATTCCACGGCCACAGCCATGGTGAAACCATTTACCTGAACAAGACTTGAAATTGAATTCAGCTGTCACACACACAGAAATACAGGGGACAGCCACAGCAAGTGTACTGTGTCAACTATGTGGAAGTGTAAGAAGTGAGCAGAGAAAGCCATGTATTTAAAAGCATGGGAGACTGATTCTTAATATTTATTTTTTTTTTTCCCAACTGTTGGGGCAGACTATCCCTACCTTTTACGGGTTGCACCCCTTGTTCACACACTTCTGGAAGGGTAAAAGGTTTGCCTCAAACTAGCTTATCCACATGTGCCATTTCCAAACACTATGAGTAATATAATTGCTTGGAAGACTTTTTCCAAATTTGAGATTTTTGTTTTCCTTGTAAAAGGTTGAGGGTCTAAGGTAGCTAATACAAGCTTACTGACAGCAAGCTAACTTCTCAAAGTCCCTTTTTCCCCCCCAGACTTCTTAAAAAGACAGTCTGGAAAGGCCTACAGACCACAAGGTGACAACTAACACTGTGATCACAGACCTTAATTCAAGTGATCTGTGTATTGCTCTGTTACATGTTGTAATTTTCTACACAGGATTTAGGCATAACAAGGAAATACTTCCCCGAGCTTCAGCCTGTGCAGTTACTGTCATGCTGCAATTGGAGTCCAGATATTCTGAAGTTAGTTGCAACACCAGAGATCTCAACTCAACCCTCTACTACGTCACCTGTAGTCCCCAGTGCTTTAAAACCGCATGCCTGAACACAGGGACACCTGCGTAAGTCCACTTAAGCCGAAGTGTTACTGTTTCAGAAGAGCATGAACACATGTAAACTAGGGATATAACAATACCCAATTCCTGTATTAGTCCCTGTTGTGGTATAACCCCAGCTGGCAACTAAGCACCACACAGCCACTTGCTCACTCTCCATCCTGCAGTGGGATGGGGAGAGAATCAGAAGGGTAGAAGTGAGAAAGCTCACAGGTTGATATGAAACATTTAATGGGTAAACTTTTTGCTTTACCTACAGATCCCCATATAAGCTACTATGAAGAAATTTAACTCTATCCCTGCCAAAATCAGTACAGCCTTCTATCTCAGAAACTGGACTTAGCCTTCCCACATGTGAAAGACTGGCCTAAGGGCTTACTTGTACAATTAGGCTAGGAGTTTCACTACCAATTACTTACGAACAAGGATATATGGACTCATGCTTGTTTCTATCCTAAAATGATCTTTTATTTCCTGTCTACTCAATAATTAATAAAGATTTTGTCTCTTCAGCTGCCCTTTGTGTGTGCTAAACTCATGCAGCCCACAGCTAGGACACCCAGCTTCACTGATCATTTACATGAACAAGCCAATATTGCAAAATTTGTCATTTTTCAAAAATAATCAGTACAACAAAAAGGACAGAATTTGTTCTTAAACAATTCTAGAATAGCCATTTTTATAAATCTTATTAATAGAGCTCTGCCCAGGAAAAATTTATACAACCGTGGTGAACTAAGAGATCAGCAACACATATTGTTCCTACGTTTTAAAATATTAAGTCATAATGTATCCTATTCGTTTATAATCCAGCTTTGCTCAACGCTGAGTGTTCCTTAATGCTTAAAAAGGATAATCTCTGCACCATGTTCTGAGTTGTTCCTTTAGAATTTACATGCATGTCGTTGACCCCTTCTACTGAAGACAACTGAGAAGACAATTTTGAGATTCAGGACCCCAAAAAACCCCACTATTTGATTTAAAATTTTTCTTTAGTTTTTTCTAACACCAAGCATAGGAAGCGCAAGTCACCGTCATCATCTTCTCAATACATGACATGCAAGATCCCTTCTGCACGGTAGCAGATAAGCAGTTGAATTCTTTACCTGTGCAGCCCAAATGTTGTCAAGATCCTGCAAAGTGAGGGCTTTCTCTTTGATGACAAAACGAAGAATTTTCTCTAACTTCTCTACATACTGAGGTTGATGAAGACTATCTCTCAACACAATTGATAAAATATTATTCTGCTGGATCCATTCCTGAATATAAACAGAAAGTAGTGCATCTCAAATGACTGAAGTGCTGTCACCGATATTTAAGCTAAAAATTTCAACCTGTTACAGATTAATTGCTTTATATACAATATTCTAATTAAGAGAAGTGAGAAAGATGCAACACGAGGAAGGTATTAATCTCTGATTTCCTCTTAAAAAAAAAAGCAGTATTTTAAATAACGTAATATGCTAGTCATTGTGATATCTTAAGGGGAAGTATATTTTCAGGCATATTAAGATCATGAACTCGAAGCATATAAATGGTCAAATAACTTCAAACATAAAAAGCCAATGGGAAGAACAGTTAACTGTTCTGTTCAAGGAACAAAATTTTTCCCTTCCAATTCACAATTATTAAATATCATAACTAAATTGTTTAAGACCCTCCTAGCTTTACTGGTATGCCTACAGCATATCACATAAAAAAGGAATAAGCAAGGACTGAAATACAAAAAGGTGAGATTATTTAACTACTGCCACTTATATGGGTTTTTAAATGCTTCTAATTGAATTAGAAGCAAATATTCGAGCCGTATTTAAGAATATACATTTTTTTCCAGTGGTGTCATTGACACAGTCAGATTAGGGCCACGTATGTTTGCTCCCACTGAAGCAAAGCAGTGAGCGCTCTGAGCACTGAAAAAGAAAACAAACGTACCCTTCCAACAGTGTCCTTGATTACAGACAATACATTCAAGAAGCTAGTCTCGTGAAATACTTAAATCTAGTTTTCACTTAAAACCAGAGATCTTGTCTGAGATGCCAAACTATACGGAGTATGTAAAAAGAGACCTATTTCCTCCTATTGCTTTAAAAAGTCAAACTGCAGTCATTCTATTTTGTCAGCGGTCCTGCAGATTACAAACCTCACAACAGACAGATGCAGAAGTGGGGCAGAACAGTGCAAAAATCACGTAACATAATTAAATTTCACAAAGATGAAGAGAAAATTGTCCTTGCTTTAAACTTTACACACGCTCATTTTACTAATTCCCTACATGTGCACTCAAGCATGAAACAGTAGTCAAAGTATGCAAGTATTAAATAAATAAATACAATAAAAATGTGGTATCTACAACTTTCAGTACCAAAGAATCCAGCTTCTGAAACGTGAAAAGCAGAGTAGTCACTCAGAAGTCTAATGGGAAAAAAATACTTGAAACGCAAAACCCAAACTAGATCCTTATTCAAATGAACATTCAATTTTTAGGCACAGTGGCACTGAAGTTACAAATTAATCATATCTGTTTTATCTACGTTTGTTTGGGGTTACTAACACTATATAAAAACTATACTATCCAAGGATCCCTTTTTAAAGCATGTTTTTATCAGCACCAAAAATAATTCCCAACAGCAGCTTTGAAACAAATACAGCAATTTTTCACACAAAGACTATTAAAATGACTTACTACCATGACGTGATACCTACTGTTTGTAACAGTAGCTATGAAAATTAGCAGTGTGTGCAGGATCCATAATGTATAGCTACTTCTACTACTGAAGTAATAAGGAGGAAGAAAGTCTATTCAATGAATTTCGGTGAAGAGGACAACTTACTGCCATTCTTTCAGCTGTAAGCCATTCTTCCTCTTCAGGATTACCATGACGATGAGTGTAATATGACACACTGGATATTACTTTGTTAACTTCATTTAGTGCATTCATTTTACCATTGAAAGAAGAAATTTGTAACAACCTGTAAGAGAAATAAAATGTAAAAAGTGGGAAAAAAAAGAAGTCAGAAGTAGCACATCATATCAGGAGAAGCATCTTACCTAAGTATCATTTTTAACCTAAATATTTCTAAGTTTTTTACAGTTTCTTCTTGTCCTGGAACTCTTGAAGCTAAGTTCTTTAGAGATTTGATTATCATTGACAGAGCATCATTTTTGGCTTCATTCTTTGCTTCTTTTTTCAGTTCATCATCTGTTAAATTTTCTAAAAATTGTGGAACCATTTCTATAATTGGAAGGAAGTATTTCTTCACTGTATGTAATGTTAGAAATTCGTAACATTGTCCAAATGGCCTAAAAAGAAAGAAGAAAGGATCAGAGTGCCATAATTGGCAATTGTGTAACATTAAGGTAGTAAGGAGCAATTCATTCAAGAAACTCAAATCTATTTACAAGCACATGTAATCCTGAAGGTAAACACAACCAGTTAAGAGATGGAGTGAGGGGAATTGCCTCAAGAAAAGACTAAGCTTTGCACTACCACATTTTTAGTCCAACTTTTTGAAATATGTAAACTGTTATTTTTAGAAAACTTACTTGATGAGAGCTGCAATTATCTGAACATTCAATGCTGACCCACTCATGAAGCGATCATGCAAGATCTGAAATCCATTTAATGTGCCAAACTTGTTGATAAGATCTACTAGCCAACCCTGCAATATAATCAACTGTTATTTTCTGATATTTACAAATTAGCATCTAGAAATACTTTCAAGAACCTGTTAGTAACAAAACTTGCTTTAAAAAAGTCCTTACACAATAAACTGTTAGAAGGTAACAGCATTTACAGTGAACTTGCCTACATAGTTTAAACATTCAGTTTTAAGAAAATGCTTAGAAATAGGCAATACTGTCTTTCCAATTATCATGTCAAAAACCAGATGCTGTATATTAGTTATTCAAAAAATTTTATCCAGTATATAAGAATAAAAATTACTATACTTCAGGTTCATCTTTGGCTGCTAAGTTACCACAGAAAGCACAATCGTGCTTTTTTCTGGTCCTGGACGTGATAATCCTGCATATAAAAGCAGCAAGAATGCATAATAATGTTCTAAACACAGTTAGCAATGCAAGGAAGTCCAAGGACACAGAGTTATTTATCTTTGGTTCCTACATATCAATAGCTAGCAGTTCTTCTAAAAGAAAGGAAAAAAAAAAAAAAGGAAGAAAGCAACAAAAATATAATTTGGTTAGCTCCTGAAGCTGTACCAATACCATTTGGAGCACAATTCCGAAAAATTCAGACCTAAGAACCAGAACAAATTACTAATCTGCACTGCCTGTTACAACAAAACAAAACAAACACCACCCAAAAACCCCTCCCCCAGAAAAACCAAACCAAAACAAAGCCCCAGTCCACACTGGCAATAGCATCCCATGTCCAATTACAAACATTTCTCCCCTCACTGAGAATTATAAGAAAAGGGGAAAAAAAATTAAATTTTAAAAAATCCTACTTTACCACATAATCTCCTCCACAAAATATGTCACCTACAAAATCGTGTTGGGTGAGAAGGTAAATCCATGAACTGGCAAATAGAAGCAAGCAAATCACCAGAGTAGGAACAGAATTCCAATACCATTGTGCCAGCTTACCACAGGAACACCTGACAGTTTGACTGTTGATCAAAGACTGAAAGAGTTAAGACGGGGAGACTTAATTCATCATGATTTAATGTATAAGTCAACAGCAGCAGAACATCTTAGTGACATAGAGAATGAAGGTGGGTTTTTTTCACCTCTAAAAAAAAAAACTTCTCTACGGCTACTGTGTGATTAGGTAACACTGTATAAAACTAAACACAGAGGTCTGAAAATGCTCTCGTACCTTTGGTGATCGTGGGTCAGGAGGACGGGCATAAAGTTCATCTTCAGCGAGCTGGACTCCTGCAGGAACTGTTTCTGAGGGACGAGTACCATTGTACAGATGGAATTTGCAGTGAGGATTTAAGGCCATGGCAAGAAGTTCAAGAAGGGGAAACCAATCTTGGGACAGCTTGGCCACACAGAGTTCTACTAGTCGATGAGTGTTGTTAATAATACATCTCTGTTAAGAAAGAAAAACAACAACCAAGAACATGGCAGGTGACTGTACGATGAATATGAACTATAAACCCCGAACCATTTGTACCTAGCATGCAGAGCTGCACAAGAGTTTACAGCATCATATTTTAAACTGTACTTCCTCCAATAAAAGCTTTAAATAAACTCCAAGTTATCTGTTTTCAGCTAAAAATTAAATTTAGGAAAAATATACAAATACTTTTCGGTTACTTGAGGCATTCATGTACTGCCACTGAACTATTAACTTTTCCTTCTTTCACCCGTTTCTCCCACAGATTTTAATTTGCTTATGAAGCATATGACTAGCTGTCCAACAAGCAGTTTTCATATTCAAACAGCTGCTACAAGCATTCCAAAGTTAGCAGGCTGCTAAAAACTTTTACTAAAAAAGCTAGTTTTCATGTCCCAGCATGCACATAAGAACAAGCAGGTCTCTAGACATCCGGTCAAAAACAGCCTGCCTAACAAGAGCTGCACCACTGAACATACAAAGTTCAGTTCCTCCCCATATGATCACTCATGTTTTATTTCCTTCCAAAAACACCAGAGGTAATAAGATGAAACAATAATAGAAGGATGACTTTCCACCCCCTTCCCAGAGAGCCATGTATACAAGAGTTTTTGAGCTCTCTGTTGAGATGAGTCTCAAAAATGAGATTCAGTCTCTGTAGTCGCCTCATAGTCTCAAAGGCTATCTCCTCCCTCATTTAAGCGGCTGTGCTTCTCAGAAACACAATAAAAACTCACATGAATTTCAAACTTCCAGCCGCTCACTGCCTCATCTGTAAGGATTTTTGTGAAAGATATTGTTAACCCATCTCGAAAAAATCGCTGGCATGCTTCACTTTTGACATCGAGGCCTGTTTTAAAATAGAACAGAAAAACCAAACTATTAGATATGCAATTTCATTAGTTGTTACGTGAACTTTTAAATATTAAAGCAGTGATTTGGATTTCAAAGGTTTGGTGTTTAAAGTTTCAGAATTATTTTAGAAAGAGAAGCCTCGGAAGACAAACTTATATAAGCCTGAATGGACAAAAACCTGATGGATTAATATTCTAGAAAAGCCACCTCAAAAACTGCACTCCCTTAGATAATTTTAAAGTTATTGTAAAAACATGGGATGGGGTTGGGTTTTCTTCACACTTGCAATACTCAAAGGCAAAAACAATTAAGTACAATCTTTATCATCCATTTTTCTGGTACACATGCATGTGCGTTCCCTCTTATTTAGTTGCTACCTGCAGTAAAACCTGGTGAGTGAAGAGGAGAAAGGGTGAGACCTGCTCAGCTTCCCAGATACTATTAACCTGCAAAACAAACATGAATCCTTCTGTCTCTCACCCTCACTTAAAGTACAGTTTCTTGTAGTTAGGCGGCCAGGACCCAACACACCTCGACCCAACATTGCTGTAAACCTCTGCAGCCACCATATGTCAAGTTCAAAACTAAAGAACAGGGATCCATACTTTTCTTTTAGCCATTTTAAAACTCTGAGTTATTTATAACCCAGTATTTTAAGAAATCTGCATTTCTCCTTCAAAAGGTGAGTTAAAAACAAAACTAAATAGGACTAAGAGTCAACAGAAAATATACTGAACATGTATCGGTGCACACCAGACACCATGAAAGCCGTTAGGTACATTATACACAGGAAACTGTGACCAGCCTGCACAGTTTCTTTACACAACAAGTTTAATTTTCCACTGGGGAATCTTAGCATTCAACAAGCCTACAGCATCCAGATTCACAAAAATTACTGCCACCACTCCTCCCCTGCCTCCCCGCAACCTCCTCAATGAAACATCCTAACAGTAACTTCCACTGGTTTGGGAAGGATTGATTTGGGTTATTGAAGTTCCTCATAGTCACAGACAACTGTACAAAAGAGGTTCCAATCAAAAGTGGTCACAGCACATCTGCCCTGCATGTTAGTACCTTCCACAAAGGCTTTCCAAATTCCTGTAACAGGGCTTGCTAGCCCACACTCTTACAGTGGGGGCAGCTCTCAAGCAACTTCAGTAAAGCAGGAATCTTGGGAGAGCTCTTGTCACCTCCCTTAAAACTGCTCCAGTATTCCCTCTTTTTATCACTACCACAGGTACATGACGTACACACTATGTTGCCAAGTATAAAAACCTAGACGCTATCTTTCTACACAGCTTGCCATCTGGATATCGGACATCCCTACACTACACAGTAAGTGCTAACACAGTAACAAAAGGCTGCAAGCCACAACAATGACATGATAAAAGAAGAGAAGAGATGGACGCTGCCTAAGTTTTGCAGTAGGACTTTGTTAAATTAACTCTTCAAGGAGGTAAAGATGACAACTTCACCCTATACAGAAAAAAAAGGAAAAAAGCCACAACAATGACATGATAAAAGAAGAGAAGAGATGGACGCTACCTAAAACTTAGGCATTTGCAGTAGGACTTTGTTAAATTTACTCTTCAAGGAGGTAAAGATGACAACTTCACCCTATACAAAACAGAGGACAGGGAAGGCATCCAATGTGGTCAACTTGACCTAGGGGAAATGTTCCTTTCTGAACCCAAATGTAACAGTGATCTTAATTCTTGAATACAAATATGAAGCAGGCACTCAAATGATTTTAGTGCTCTCCAGAATACCAGTATATTGCACTGAAATATCTCGCAAACTTTCAAGTACACCTTGAACCATCTACCCCCACAACGGTGGGCCAGCTTCAGTCAGCAAGACGTTTCAAACCAAGTTCAGGACTAGCAAAACAGAGTATGTTTTGAAATACATGGTCTTCTCTGTACTTCACTGAACTTGGAAAGAGAGGAAAAGACACAGAACTTTAGAATACACTTGTACAACTCCTGGATATACAGTCACCTTTTCCCAAAATGACAGATGACACTTATGGAAGAATCGAAGGCTAGATATCTACAAGGACCAAAGTATCATCAAAAGCAGGGTAGAGGAGTCCCAGAAGACAGCAGGTTGGGAGAGGAAGCAAGAGCAATCAAAAGACAGTGAGAAGGGAAACAGCCATTACACTAGGCACCTTACTGGTTGAATCAGATTCAGTACCACTAGCTGTCAGGTAAGACCATAAGCAGCCATTTTTCTCCTGTTGTCCATTTTCTGAGGGCAGAGGAAAAGGAAGAATACAAGAGACAGCTCTGGGCTGCACGCACTTACTTAAGTATTCAGAGAAAAGTTGGAGAAATTAATTATGCAGTGAGGAAAATAAAGCGAGAGTGAAAGGAAAAGGTGACACGCAACACACAGTACATGGAAGCTGGAATTAGGGGACTGGAGGAAGAACAGAGGCCTGTTAGATCTCTGTGCTTATGCTTAAAAGTGATCAATTTGCCAGACAAACCACGCAGAGTGCATCAATACTGCCACAAGAGCAGAAACACTGTGTGTCCACAAACCTGTCAGTCCAGACACAACTGTACATGAGTGAACTCTGGTGAACCTGAGGGGTATTCAACGGTATAGGGTTGGAACACCAACACCCCAAGCAAAATTACCTCACGCCTCCAGGTCTTTGGACTACACAATTTAGTAGCTGTAATCCTAGAGCTGAGCTGGCTCCACACGCTGGTGTGGCACTGTGCCAGCATGCACCACAGACCCAGAGCCTCAGGAAGAAAATTTCCAGTGGCTTGGCAAGGTGTACTGCTTTTGGTTGGGATACAGCTAATTTTCTTCAGAGTGGCTGCTATGGGGCTGATTTGGGTTTGTGCCAAAAACAGCATTGATCACAAAGGGCTGTTTTCGTTACTGCTGAGCAGTGCTTACACAGAGTCAAGGCCTTTTCTGCCTCTCACACCACCCACCAGCGAGTAGCTTGGGGGCACAAGAAGTTGGGAAGGGGCACAGCTGGGACAGCTGACCCCAACTGACCAAAGGTATATCCCAGACCATATGATGTCATGCTCAGCATATAAAGCTGGGGGAAGCAGGAAGAAGGGGGGATGTTGAGAGTGATGGTGTCTGCCTTCCCAAGCAACCATTACATGTGATGGAGCTCTGCTTTCCTGGAGATGGCTGAACACCTGCCTGCCACTGGGAAGTGGTGAACTAATTCCTTGATTTGCTTTGCTTGTGTGCACAGCTTTTGTTTTACTTATAAACTTTTTTCTATCTCAAGCCATGAGCTTTCTCACTTTTATTCTTCTGATTCTCTCTCCCATCCCACCAGGTGAAAGCCACTGAGCAGTTGTGTGGGGCTTAGTCACCAGCTGGGGTTTAAACAGCAACAGTCCTTTTTGGTGCCCAACGTGGGGCTCAAAGGGTTCAAGATAACAGGTTTGATTGGAACATCCTAGATCAAATTTATGGCCGTTACTGCTGCTTAGCTATTTTTTAGCCATTGCCAGGCTGATGTGCTTGCTATGGGGCTTGCTTGCCTTACTGTATATTAGTCTAGTGCTCATTAGCGGCTGCTTTTAGCTTTCACTGCTGTGCTGCTTATCATCTTACTCTGCTGTGCCTGGGAACATTTTGATAACAGCAGTGACGATGCGCCTGGGCTGGCAGATGGCCTGGGCATCACGCCTTTTTCTGTGCTGCTGTATTGGACAGGCTGGAACTCCAGTGTGAACTTGTCTACGGGACTATGACCTGTGGATCTGTGACCACACAGGGGCAGGTCACCTTGAAGCACGTGTGGTATGGGTAAGCCCATGCCAGAGCAGGTACCTCTTGAAGTGTCTGTGGCCGCAGTTATGTGTGTGCTGCAGCAGGTACCTCTGAAGGGATTGTGGCCCAAGGGTAAGTCCATGCTGGAGAAGGATCACCACTTTAAAGCCGAAGTGGCTGTGAAGGAGGTCATGCTGGAGCACCTCAA